TCAAAGGGAGTTACGGAGACTGACTCATAAGAGATAATCAAGCCCAGATGGTTGTGGCTTTGCCCCCCCCAAGAGAGTATATAAGAAGAGACTTTGGGAGGAGTCCTTTTGCAGGACACAACGGTTTGTAATAATCTGGAGAACTCCTTGTCTGGTCTGCCTTGTGTTCCTGTATCTGTTGGAGTCTGGGTTGCTGCCAACTTCTTGCCAGTGAGTCGGGCTTTCAGCTAACAGGATTATAATTGCTGCGAATAAAGAGTGGCAAACAGCTAAGCCTGTGTCTGTGTTCATTACCAGATGGAGCAGGGCCAGAACAATAAATTGATCTGAGAGACCCAAATCCTAAAGCATGAAGTTTAAAGCAGACTGGCCCCTGGCATGGTTGCACGCCGGGTCCAAAACAGCTGCCTAGTTCCTTCTTCCTTTCCAACTCCTGTTCAAAATGTTTTTGGTGGAAATGTTCTGCCATCCACAATAGCTCAGTGAACAGAGGAAGACCCAGGGGTGGATGTCAGCAGATATGTTTGTTTTACTTACTTATAAGGAAGAGAATCCCATATCCTAAGATTAAGATTAAGACAGCCCCGATTCCAATAACAATTTGCCAGTCTGTAGCTGAAGAAGGAGAAACATGGTTTTGATTATATTAGAGTTTGTTGCAGAAATATCAAATCCATAAAGCACACAGAGATAACTGATTCATCAGGATTCATTAACTTCTTTATGTGCATAATAGCAGATGAATAAATGTACAATACCAAGAGTGGTTCCTCAGATTCAGATCAGAGCAGCAAGTCCAGACTAGTTTCATTTCCAGCACAGAGCTTAATACAGACAAGACTAGTTTCAGTTTCAATTCTCAGCACAGCACACAGAGCTGCAGGGCTAAACCATGCCCAGGCTCCAATCTCTTTCAGCTCCCATTGGCTGGCTGATCTGTTGCTATGCCTATTCCAGTGACGTGCGGTGAGGTTTATGGCTGGTGAGGCACTGACACATGGGTTTCAAATTTTTTTAGACTTGTGGACTTCAACTCCTAGAATTCCACAGCCAGGCATACTCAGTTCCGATTTAAAGTGACAGCATTTGTTTTTCTCCTTTGTGAAAAAGTTTTCCTTCATTCTTTTTCTTCCCCCTCGCCCTCCTTCCTCCCTCTCTCCCTCCCTCCCCCCTCTCTCAGACAGACACATGCACACAGAAGTTGGATTCCTCTCTCACTCTCTCACTCTCAAACAAACACAAACCCAGAAGTTGGATTGGATATATTTTCCAATGGCTTGAAAGCAGCTCCTCTGCCATACCTCCCCCCCATTCCCTGCTGCCTTCCGATCCGAGCCTTTGATTGCAGGTGGAGCCACGCCGTCAGTAGCCGAGTTGGCGGTCGAGTTCCCCAGGCTTATGGTGCTGGGGGATTTCAACCTGCCTTCGCTCGGTGAACACTCTGATGGGGTGCAGGAGTTCATGGCTTCCATGACAGCCATGGACTTGACCCAAGTAATCTGGGGTCCGACTCACTCAGCGGGTCACACACTTGACCTCGTATTCCTCTCGGAGCAGTGGAGACGTGATCTAGATTTGAGGGGCATTAAGATCTTGCCCTTGTCATAGTCTGATCACTTCCTAGTGAGGCTTGACTTTCGGAGACCAATCCCCCACTGTAGGGAGGAGGAACCGATTAGGTGGTTCCGCCCCAGGCGCCTGATGGACCATACGGGATGGGCGCTTGGAGAAATACCTGACACTCTCGTCCACACTCCGGTGGAGTCCTTAGTCGCTGCTTGGAATACAGCAGCGGTGGGGGCTCTAAACCGGATTGCGCCTTTGTGGCCTCTCCGAGGTAGAGGATCCAGGAGGGCTCCTTGTTTCACCGAGGAACTCCGGGAGATGAAGTGCCAGAAGAGACGCCTAGAGCACCGCTGGAGGGCCAGTAACTCTGAGTCAGACTGAGCACTGATGAGAGCCCATATCAGAGCCTATCTCATGGCAATACGGGTGGCG